TGACCACACTAACCGGGAAAGCAATATCAGGCCGGGTGATAGTCAAATAATTCAGTTTCCCAATAATCCTTCGGTATACCTCAGGATTTTCCAGCAAGTCGCCTTCATCAGCTGTTAACTTTTCATTTGGGATCATCGGAGCATCACACGGTTTTGCCTCAACCAAACCTGCATCATTTAGCACATCTAGGCAGTATTTTCTTTGAGACAAGTAAATTCCCTTGTTACTACGTGAGACTTCTATCCCTAAGAAGTACTTCAAGGGCCCAAGATCTTTGGTCTGAAAGCAAGTAGAAAGGAAAGCTTTCAGTTTCAAAATACGACTCGCATCACTGTCAGTGATCACGATGTCATCAACATACACAACTAATAGAATGCATCTAGAATTTGAGGTAGAGAAGAAAACTGAGTGATCATAGGCACTCCTGCGTAGGCCAAATTTAAATATTGCAGCACTGAAACGGCCAAACCAAGCTCGTGGGGATTGTTTCAGACCATACAACGATTTCCTTAATTTACATACCTTTCCAGACTCCCCCTGAGCAAGAAACCCTGGTGGTTGCTCCATGTACACTTCCTCGCTAAGGTCACCATTCAAAAAGGCATTTTTAATATCAAGTTGATGGAGTGTCCAATTGTAAGTAGCAGCCAAAGAGATAAACAATCGAATGGATGTAAGTTTGGCAACAGGAGAGAAGGTGTCAAAGTAATCTATACCATATGCTTGAGCATAACCCTTAGCTACTAACCGTGCCTTTAAACGAGCAACCGAACCATCAGGATTCATTTTGACAGTGAACACCCATTTACACCCAATAGCTTTCTTATCGGGTGGAAGATATACAAGGTCCCATGTGTGGTTCTGGTCGAGAGCCATTATCTCCTCTCGCATTGCCTCTTGCCAACCAGGATGAGTCAAGGCCTCAGAAACAGTTGAAGGAACAACAATAGAATCTAAAGAAGCAATAAAGCTCTTGGAAGAAGATGACAATGTATTATAAGTAACAAAGGAAGAAACAGGATAAGTACAAGTACCTTTTCGGAGGGCGATTGGGAGATCAAGGTCGGAGGGAGCAGAAGATGGAGGCAAAGCAGAAGATGGCAGCGGTACACTGGTAGCCATAGTAGGTGCCGTAGTCACATGGCGCACACGACGAGAGTAAACTTTAAGGGGAGGAGGTGGAGGAGGTGGAGGAGGAAGGAAAGTTGATGGAGAAGTCCGATTGGGGGGACAGATTCTAGTTGGCTGGTGGTATAGACTAGAAACTCATCATTAGAGAATTCCAAAGAAGATGATGAAGATGAACTATCCTGAAAGAAGGGTGTTTCTTCAAAAAATGTGACATCTGGAGAGATAATATACCGTCCCAATGAAGGAGAATAACATCGATATCCTTTTTGTAACCGGGAATAACCCAGAAAAACACACTTGATTGATTTAGGATCAAGTTTTGAGACCTGGGAACGCATATCCTGGACAAAGCATGTGCAACCAAACACACGAGGCACAAGAGAGAACAAGGACTGAGAGGGGAATAAAACGGAGTACGGAATCTGAGCATTAAGAACAGAGGAAGGCATACGATTGATAAGGTAACACGCAGTGGAAACAGCGTCTACCCAAAATGGTTTAGGAACCCCCATGTGAAATATTAAGGCTCGAGCTACTTCTAGTAGGTGACGATTCTTTCGTTCAGCTACACCATTTTGTTGAGGTGTATAGGGACAAGAAGTGTGGTGTAAAATCCCATGGCGAGATAAGTAAGTCTGAAAAGTGCTAGATAGATAGTCTTTAGCATTATCACTTCTCAGAATGCGTATATTCTTATTAAATTGAGTTTGAATTTCAGCATGAAAGGTACAAAATGCAGTAAACACATCTGATCGGGATTTCAAAGGATAAAGCCAAGTAACCCGTGAAAAATCATCCACAAATGTAACAAAATAACGATGACCAAGTTTGGAAACGACAGGACAAGGACCCCACACATCAGTGTGAACTAAATCAAAACTAGACTCAACACTTTTATTTATTCGAGGAGGGAAATTTGTTCTATGATGCTTAGCAAACTGACATGCTTCAAACTCCAAAACAGACTCCCGTGATAGACTAGGACACATTTTTTGTAGTACAGAAAGAGACGGATGACCAAATTGACAGTGAACTTTCAACAGAGACGAACTTGTGCATGCAACTGATCTCGGCACCAAGGATTCAAAAACATATAAGCCATTAACCAGTCTACCTTTACCAATAATCTGCTTCGTCCCAAGATCCTGAAAAAGACAATGAGTGGGAAAGAAAATAACACAGCAGTTTAGGGCTTTAGTAATCTGACTGACTGAGATTAAATTAAACGGAAATTGAGATAAATATAGAACAGAAGATAGAGAAAGGTTTGGAGAAAGAGTTGTTGTTCCAAGGCCATTGACAGATGCGGTTGATCCATTTGCTAAAGTAACATGAGACTGGTTAGCAGAAGAGGTAAATGAATCCAAAATACTTTCATTACCAGTCATATGGTCCGTTGCGCCAGAATCGATCACCCAATTGCGTGATGATGTAGAGAGGCATGCAGATGGATTACCTGTATCAACTTGTGTGGTGGCAGATGAGGCTGTGAGAGAAAGTTGTTGTAGCCGAGCATATTCATCGACTGAGATAGTAACAGTGGAAGGAGTTGGTAGGATACCATCCTGGATAACCGTATTAGCAACACGCCTGGGAGGAAACTGTCCAGAAGTCTGTGGTGGACGACCATGTAATTTCCAGCAATTCTTCTTCACATGACCCTCAGCTCCACAGTGATAACATGTGCGAGAAGAATTACGAGTCCCTTCAGTAGTGACTGAATTGGTCCTTTTACCATGGCTCACATCACTGACTAAGGCAGCAGTATCAATTGAGTTCATCATTCTGGATTCTCCATCTTTGCACACTGGAAGGAGACGTCCATAGAGGTCAGAAAAACTAGGAAGGGTCCCACCAGACAATATTTGACTCCTTTATACCTCATATTGTGGACCAAGCCCAGCCAAAACACCATGAACAAATGTTCGCTCCTCTTGTTCTTGCATACTCTTAACATCAGCAGTAATAGGGAATCGGGACCACTTTTCCTCAAAAATCTGTTTACATTCATTATAGTATTGAAACAGCGTCTGATCCCTCATCTCCGGTCTATAGTAGTGCACCAGTAATTGATGAACATAAGAGAGATCTTGTTTACTGGCATACATAGACTCCAAGTATTCCCACATTTCTTTGACAGTATCACAATGAGTAATGATACTATCAATAGAAGGATCCAGGGTATTCTGAATTTGATTGAACAACCTATCATCCGCCATCATCCATTTTTTTCTTTCATCAGGATTACTTCTTGGAGGAGCCATTTCAGTTAGATGATCTCCCAGATCAAGACTATTAACGTATCTAGTAATAGTCCGTTTCCACTGCCCGTAATCTTTACTACCAGTCAGTTTTCTCTCGGTAATTCTAGCATTACCGACAGTAATCTCAGTCACACTCTTCTTATCATCACCCATGCTTGCAAACAACTAGGGCAAGAGTGATAACAAGAACAGGGTAAGAGAACTGGTGCAAATCGTAAAGATAGTGTCCAGAAAATCAGACCTGCGACAATTGTTCTGCACTATCCGGATTACCACGCCTGCGCCTGCGAACAACGTCCTGTGCCGCACAAAAGAGAGCTGAATCGAACCAGAGGGAGGGAGCAGAGTTGAACTTCGGGAAGTACTACCCGAAGAACCTGTGTGGCTCTGATACCATGTAAACTGAGTAATAAGAATTAAAGATGCAATGAAATCACTCTTCATTATCATTAGGTATGGCCAGTATAAATACATACAAGCTAGGGAATACAAAAAGGAAACTAAATCTGTCAGATTTACCTAGAATATTTAGTCTATCGCAGAGAATATATTAGCTACCATATATATACATAGAATATATTGACTATTAAATATGTATATTCTAACAAGATTCGTTGTTTTGAGCCATAAGTCATAGACAAAAGCGCCATCTTTAGCAACAGAGTAGGACTGCTGTATGAAATCCCAGATTTCTTTAGCCGAGTCCATGTATAAACATGTACTGCTAATGTTGGGGTCCATAGAGTCCCATAACCAGACCCGTATGTTGGCATTAGTTTTCTCCCAATTAGCAGCATCAATCTCTCCTTCTTCTGGGGTAGAGACAGTGAGATAGTCTTCAAGATCTTTGCCACGTAGGAGAGTGTAAACCAGCTTTGACCACCCAAGATAGTTCCTACCATTGAGACGGTAAGATGGCGGGATAGAAGGGAGATCAAATTTCTGGTTTCGAAGAGCAAATGCGGCTGAAGTAGCAGCTGAAACAATGGTTGAGTGATCAAGGTTACTTGAGGCTGATTCGGCTTCTTTAGACATGATAAAACCCTTGATGAAGAGACTCCACCGGGAGTTAAAGAGAGAGAAGGGTAGAGACACCCAAAAAATGACCGTTGGAGAGGTGATAGACTCAAAAAAGGCTTAGACAAAACCAAGCTCTGATACCATGAAGTTTTCTGAATATTATTTCCTTGAATTCATTTACAAGAAGTACATAAGCTATTTATACAGATAGGAATCCTGAGAGAGTCTATTCAGCACCCTAGGTGACTGTCTAAATACTAAACATAAATGATTGAGAACTGAAAAGACAGCAGCTATTAAATACAACCTGAAGCACTAAAGACACATAATTACAGTAATGATAAGGAAAATAAATCCTAGATTAATGATGTCTCTTCGTTTTATCAACAGATGGTGATGATTTTTATTTGCATTTCCCAAGGTAAAACCAAACATCTTAAACTATTTTTCCTTATCATTTTTTCTTTTTCATGGCATTTTCATGATCCAAACATACTATAAATTTCATGAATCGTGATCATTCTCATGACTGCATATATATTTTGATTATAGTTGTCTAAGATTTGCCCTCTTTCCCAATTCAGGTCTTGTGGGGCTCTCTCTTTCGTATGCTTTGGTACTAACAAGCACTCAAGTGTTTTTAAGCAGATGGTATAGCAGCTTAGCTAACTATGTCATTTCAGCTGAAAGGATAAAACAATTTATGCATTTAACCCCAGAACCACCAGCTGTGCTGGAAAATAATAGGCCAAACTCCTCTTGGCCTTCCAAGGGTAGAATAGAATTCCTGGACCTTAAGGTAAGCCATCATCTCAACGAATTCAAATGATTTATGAAGTATTCTAAACACTTGAGATTAGCAGAATACCTTGTTTGGATGCAGATAAGATACCGTTCAAATGCTCCATTTGTGCTCAAAGGGATAACGTGCACCTTCACTGAAGGCAGTAGAGTAGGAGTTGTGGGGAGGACAGGAAGTGGGAAAACAACGCTGATTAGTGCATTGTTTCGCCTAGTAGAGCCTTACAGTGGGAAAATCATTGTAGATGGTCTTGACATTTGCTCCATAGGCCTTAAAGATTTGAGGCTGAAACTCAGCATTATCCCACAAGAGCCAACTCTTTTCAGAGGAAGTGTCAGAACAAATTTGGACCCTTTAGGCCTTTACTCTGATGACGATATTTGGAAGGTAAAATTGTCAAAACAATCACCACATTGCCTCATATGGATTATCTTCAGATTCCATAGAATAAGGGAGAATTCTTGGTAATTGAAAGTGGTACCCATTGAAATTCGGTGACAGCATTGGTTTCAAGCTTTGGGTGAAATCCCATCATTCCAAACACAATATTATCTGATTCCCAGTAATTCAATCCCAAGTCTCAACAGTCAAATCAATTCAAACTATACTTAATACGTTATTTTATTTCAGGCTCTGGAAAAGTGCCAGCTAAAGGATACCATTAGCAGACTCCCAAACCAGCTAAATTCTTCAGGTGATCCAATAGTATAAAGTTCTGTGTCTATATATAGATTGACGTGACCGAAGATTTAGTTGGAGCATTTTATGCACTGAAACGTGATACATCCACAATTTGGTTTGGTTTGTTTTTTACAGTGAGTGATGAGGGAGAGAACTGGAGCATGGGGCAACGGCAACTGTTCTGCCTTGGAAGAGTCCTTCTGAAAAGGAACAGAATCTTAGTTCTGGATGAGGCAACAGCTTCCATAGACTCTGCCACTGATTACACTCTGCAGAAAATCATCAGAGAAGAATTCTGCAATTGCACAGTCATCACTGTTGCTCATCGTGTCCCCACCGTCATAGACAGCCACATGGTCCTCCTCCTCTCTTTTGGTAAGCTTTTTCCCATTCTCTTATACATAAGTTATGTATAACAATTTCTCTCCATTTGAGTCAGGAACTGAGCATCATAATAAGAAAAATCACTTAGGGTGTGTTTGGGAGTTGGGTTTTGGAGGGAAGGGGAAGGTTGACAAGGGTTCATGACCCTCCCTTTCATGTTTGGGAGTTTAAAAATATGGAGGGGATGGTTTTGGAGGGCTTTTGTAACCCTCCAAAACCCTTCAAATGCTCCATTTTCAAGTTCCCCCAAATTGGAGGATTTTGAAGGATCGTTAATTAAATGACAATTTTAGCTCAATTTTAAATCAACATATATTCAACTATTTGAATTCATCATATATGTGAAATGATTTTAATTATAACTCATTCACAACCTCTATCTTTTCAAATTTGTTACTCCCAAGAAGAAGGGTCTCCTTCCCTTTCCTTCCCCTTCCCTTCCAATGACTAACCTTCAAAACCTTCCCCTCCCCTTCCCTTCAAACTCCCAAACATACCCTTAAAGGTATATAAGGCTTGCAACTACAAACAATGAAAGCTCTATCTTTCAAACTTCTTGCAGGGAAGCTAGTTGAATATGATGAGCCTTCAAAGCTTATGGCAATCAATTCTTCCTTCTCTAAACTGGTTACTGAATATTGGTCCAGCTGCAGAACAAATTCATGGCAGGATCTCAACCAATGAATACTCTTTAAGATGGTAGACTATTATAATACTATGCCAAAAAGAACCAATAGCAAATAAATCATTTTGATTTACTTTGGAGTACCATAGAAGTACGATTATTTAGCCTGTCTTGTATAAATCATTCTAAGGTTTATTCTGACGCAGACAATTTGTAATAAATTTGGGTGCCATTGGTCAAGACTTGGATAGATCTATCGCCATTAATCTAATTCTCTGATTAATTAAGCAAGAAAGAGACATATAAAAGATCATATTGATGTAGCACTTGTTCCTTGTCCATCGAAAGCATTGTTCAATTTAATCATCTGCACCACATCAAGCTTAAAAAGTTTTGCCATGAATGATCTTTAGATTCACTGTAAGAGCTTCCGCCTCTTCATTCCAGTGCATCAGTTGAGTGTCTGCAGTTGGGAGGTCATATTTGTTCCAGACAAAACTGATATCCCTTCACCAAAATCTCCAAGGATCTTTGTATGGAGGAACATAACTTTGTGAAGGAGGGAGAAGACGAAAAGAAGCAACACTCTTTTCTAAGAACGGTCCCATCTGCAGCAATCAATGTCATGTCAAATTCAAAAGATGGAAAACAAATCTATCCATTTTCTATTTCCGCGGTTTATAGAACTAGACCGCATCACTTAAATGGATGGACATAATGCTTTTAAATATGATTTGCGTATGCATTTCGTTCTAGCATAGTGGTAAATACACCGAGTGTGCATTTCTCAAAATGGATCTGTAAATATGTAACCAAAGTTTGATGTAGAAAGCAGGATGTTACAAGCTTGGTTGGGATCTCGTTTCAGATCTAGGAAATAAAGAATATGAGAGAGGAATAATAAAATAAGCCTAAGCTAGAATTAATCAGCGCCCAACCTTGTTAAGACATACAAGAATAAATTCTTCAAAGATTGTTTATTGAATAATACTCATGACCCCTTATATAGCTATTACAAGAGTGTCCTAACTATAAAAGGAAATAAATGTTGATTAAGAAGTTGTCTAAAGCGGAACACGAATAATTATAAAAGGAGATAAATGTTTAAGAAGTTGTCTAAAGCAGACATAAGAATGATGATGATGACGAAGTAATAGTAATAATAATATAAGATTTCCTTGCTCATATCACAGGATTATGCATTTAAGCTACTTGTCTTGAAGAACAAAATGTACTCACTTGGCTCCATTGCTTACTAAGTGTTGAAGCACTGAGAGTATAAAGGTAACCTGAATTGCAGAATGCATATATAAAAAGCTAAACTAGAAAATATAGGGAAAATCACACTTTTAGTCCCTCATTTATCATGCATATTCAATAGTCACTGTCTTTCAGATATTGCAATGTCGGCCCTTAACCGTGAAATAAATTGTAAAATTAGTCCTTCTTGTCTCTGCCATTAATAATTGAGCAAGCACAGTTAAATTTGTGAAAATGTCGTTCTTAATTGTGCAATACGTTACAAATGTCGTCCCTCAATTCTGCAACATGTTGTTAACGTAGCCCTGCACTCCCGCTCTTAAAATTATAGGAACAGAGTTTGCAAAATTAAAGATATGGACAACCAATATGTGGAATAAATGAGGGACCAAAAGTGCAATTTCCCTGAAATATATTAGATAATGTCTTTCTTTAAAGACAATTTCTAAAGCACCACTATTCATGAAAATAATTCCCTATGCTAAAACTTATCATTTCACAGTGAATGATGATGATAAGTTTAGGAATTTAGGATATAAAGCACCACTAGATTCTTACCATCTCGTTCAGTTGTTGAAGCTGCATAGTGGCGGAAGATATTTGACTCAAGAGCCTGTAATCATGCATTACTTATATAGTATAATAGCAATAATTGCACATTATTGAATGTTTAGTCCCATCTTGTTTAAACTATAAGTAAAACTCACAGTTTTTGTTGGTGATTTGCGAACAATGTACTCAAAATACCAATATGGTTCACCATCAATCTGATATGAAACAGATTCACATAAGCAATATCAATAAAAGTATTAACCTAAACTGATAGTAATACATCATCAGGCACAGCTTTAACGAGAAGAAAAATGAAAAGAGAAATGAAACTTACTTGAGAAGAATGTGCATCAAGGAGTGAGCTTTCCGCTAACCGTTGACTTGAGGTTACCCTCTGATAAAAACTATTAGAATTAATTTCAAAATATAGTCTGAAAGGTTAAGCAAACTGTGCTGAGTATCTTTGTTCAGTGAAGGATAAGATTACACAACATGTTGTTTGTAAAATACGAAATGTTCTGTGCATTACGTTATTTTTTTTTTGAAAGATGTGCATTATGTAATTAACTCACAAACTTATGTTGTTATTTTTCTATTCACAAATTTGAAAGACATGAACTACACATATTGCTATAGCAAGAAAGGGCGACTAGTTCTAACGGACCCCACACATTACTGAACCTGTTAGTGTTTGTTTTTTGTAAACTTAAGCACAACAAAAAGGCTCTTCTGGCCTTTGAACTTGTGCAGTCTAGATTCAAGAAAGAAAGAAAAAACATAATATAAATTTTTCTGATTTTTCAACAAAGAAATATGCAGATTATGTGCACCACATAAAATAACTTGAGCCTGACACACGCACGCACGCGCATAACATATATATGTGTGTATTCGTGTGTGCACGCACAGACATACACACACTTATACATAGTGTATATTACACAAACAAACACGCACAGTCACATAGAGGCATATGGCCGTCAATCTATCTACAGAAAGATTCATCTTACCAAAGCAGACTTATCGGATAATACAGATTCAGCAACGTCTTTCGCACTCCAGAAACTTTTTTCCTTTGACTTTAGGAGCTGTGAATTCAGTGGACCAATCTGAACCAGAAATTATTCACTTTGAGTTATGTGAACAATTTATGACATGGTAAAAAACATTCTTTTAACTTGAATTACCGTAACAGAAATAATCAGATTGTCAATGAGATCAACTCTTTCAGACACAATGCGAAGGCGTGCATCAGCTGCATCATATACTAACTACTCTAAGGATGTGTTGCAACAAGATGGGCTAAAATCAATTCACCCAAAGTACAGTGTATAATTATCCTTCATTTGATTTTTTAGATCTAGCCAGTAGCCAATGTGCATGAAGAATGATAAGGGGAAACTAACGTGACAGAGGTGGGGCCGACGAATACCGCTCTGGTTTTCGGGATTCAACCCTTCAAAGAGAGAAGAGAAGAGTGAGGATCGTAGAACTTAATGATTCAGGATACAGGAAAATAAATCATTTGCATCATACAAAGGACATAATAAAATAATTGTTTATTTATTAGTAGGTGAAATAAAAATCAATCAAAATAATCCTAATAGTTAAACCACAGATGGAACTGATGAATCTTACAGCTTTAGGAAGAGCAGAGATGAAAGATCAAAGCCTTATCTTTTTCTTAATAACAGAGTTATGTTTAAGAAGTGCAGAGATGAAAGATAGAAGCTTTATCATTTTCTTAACCACAAAGTTTTTACTCTAAGGAAATGAAAATGTTTTTTTGGGACAATTAAATAAGAAAAGTTGGCCAAGTCTTGTGGGGCGAAGGGAGTAATAAACAAATCAGATAACACATCAAATGGCCATGCATTGTAATGCTATTCTTCCTAAGGTTGAGAGGACTATGAAACACATAAAATTCAGCCTGATACGAGAGTGCTTACCATTTGAAGACAAATCTTTTGGAAGGAAGCTCTGTAGGGTACATATAGGAATATGAATTAATCTCATCAACCAATGAAGCCATTCTAACATCTTCTTCAGCTCTTGAACCTGCGAGTATTTATGGCTTTGTGTCTAAGTGAAACATTAAACACCATAATTGTTCCACTTTACTTTTAGGGAAGTATTATGCTTGCTCCGAACTCTCATTCTAGAAAATAAAAGCTTGACAAATGACATAAATGCACTTACTTTATCATACTCTCTCTCTTACGTTTTCATGTTTATAAATCTTAAAATGCCCCTACAACTTTATTGTTTAAACCAGTTTAAAGCATATTATAACAATTAAACGGAAATGGAGTATATTAATGATAGCTAAATATCCTACATTTACTTATTTACCCATGTGCATTTTGAATATAACACTGCAGTGCCAACTTCCTATGACTGTTTTGTGATAGAAAAAATCTTTTCTATTAAATTATAGATTTTGACATGTTATCATATGTTTAGCTAGAGTTGCAAAATTCGGGGGAAATGGGATATAAGAGCGTAGTGAAGCATATCTCAATCCAACTCCAAAGTGGGGAAAACACAAAGGAATAACCAATGAGACCATTACCCAAACTCTCTATTCTCTAAGAACATATAGCCGACGCCAACCTTGCAAAATGCTGTTAAGTATTGTAGTTGAAAAGAGAAGTTCAATAGCACGCACTAACACTCGTGCATTCATAGTCCTAATCAAAATTCAACTTTTTGACTGGTCAACTTCTGTTTCCTGAGTACCCTTCCTTATACTGTCCTACTTTAGTATACAACCAATTTAAATAGATAAATAGACCATTCTTCAACATTTGAAATCAAAAGTTTAATGTGTACCCAAACAGGAATAAATTTAAGCTCAGGAAGTGAACGAGTAAGTGAGAAAATGAAAAGGGAAGTATGAGGAATTATTATTGAACTTGCTGACTTACTCAAAGAAGGAAATGTTAGAGAAAGTGAAGATAGGCCAATGATTGCTAAATCCCTTCTTGAAACCCCATCCCACAGAGTGTGATCTCTTTCATTGATCGAACACGCAAGGATTTTCCCACATTTTCTTTTCTTTGGCGTGGAACACGAGCTCTGATTCCTGGCAGAAACACCATAAAATTAAGGCAATATTCGTTTGGAAGGCGAGTATTTGCATATACATATGAGCTATAAATGCCCACACACATAGAGAGAGATGGAGTACTGTAAAATGGGGAAAGAACGATGGATATATATAGAAAATGGGTGAGAGAAGACAAGATGCTGTGTGGCAGCCATTTTCTCTTCCCCTTTCTCTGGTTTATCCGAACTTGTTAGAGACGGGCAATGGGGCATCCAGGATGTTTCTTCAGTCAAACGGAACCTTTTTAACGATAAATTCCATTTTCAAATAAAAGAAAAATGATTATCATTTTTGTATGATTTAGAGATTTTGACATATTTACTTGCATATTCAATCATAATATTATGAAAAGTGATTTCCAAATCGTTAAATTTATTCATAAAAGAGGTTTTGTGCTTGATTAATTAAACAGAAGGGGGTTTAGCGCATTTTTTAAATCACATGGGACTAATGCGCCGAATTTCCATATCACATGGGATTTTGTGCATTAAACCCGGTGGATTACAGACCATGTAAAAACCATCCGACATAGAAAGAGCAGTCCTAGCTAACTTGTGAGCTACTACATTCGCGGATCGTCTACCATGAATGACTTCTATCCTAGCTTCATTACGAAGACTGAGTCTTATATCATCTAAAATAGTATCCAAATAAGCGTCCCCATCTCGTTTGACTAAACCAGACGCTACCACTTGGGAATCTGTCTCTAGCTCTATCCTTCCCCAACTCTGTGTTTTTGCCCAGGCCAGCGCTTCGCGAACGCCAATTGCTTCAGTGATCTCAGCTGACCAATTAGCACCTTCCACATTCCAGCCACTGCTAATAAATCTGCCCTGAGAATCCCTAGCTACCCACGCCCAAGCTCGTCTATTATTTTGTGCATCTAGCGCCGCATCCACATTGATTTTGATTTTGCCTTCTGCTGGCTTTTTCCATCCGGTCTCCTGACATGTCACCCTTGTATTTCCACCGGGCTCCGTCTGAGCTGTTTTCCATCCCCGTAGAATCGCTGCTCCCATCTCCAAGCAGTGGCGTCAATCCGCGTTTCGATTTTTTCAAACTTTGTCATTCCGAAGCTTCCAAATACTCCAAAGAATAGCAACAAAAATGCATAGATCTTCATCCTGCAAATTGTCAAAAAAAATTATCCAGTCAATAAAAGTCTGCCCTTGCCGGACATAACGGACCCCCAGTTTTCTCCACACCATGTCAGCTATCCTACAAGATCTGAATATGTGATCTTTTGATTCATCCTCCTCTGCACAAACCTTGCACACACTGTCTATCTCCACATGCTTGCGACGCAGATTATTCATCGTAGGTAGACATCCCGTCATCACCTGCCAAAAAAAGCACTTCATTTTTGGTGGTATTTTAAGATTCCACATCTTCGTCCATCCCATCCAACCCTGACTCGTGTACTCCCCCCGAACTACCCTATAACCACTCTTTACTGTATAAATTCCTTTACTATCTTCATTCCACCAGATTCCATCCACTGGTCTCCTTTTGCTAATGGGAATAGACAAAATAGCTCTTCTATCCTCTGCTGAAAAAATAGTATTGATTCTTTCTCTGTTCCACTGATTCCCTTTCTCATTAAGCAGTGCCGCTACATTCATGTCAGCCACTCCTTCCGGAGGTCTTGATTGAACTCGTCCCGACCCTTGTCCTGGTAGCCAACGTTCACGTCAAACCGAAATGGTTTGACCATTGCCCACTTTCCTCCTTATGCCTTTCTCAAGCATTTCCTGCGTCTGGATAATACTGCTCCAAATGAAGGAAGGATTATTCCCCAATTTGGCCTGCAAAAAAGAAGAATTAGGGAAATACTGCTTTGAAGATTCTTCCCACAAGCGAGTCCGGATATTTGATTAATCTTCAAGCTTGCTTGCCCACCATGGCTAGATTGAATTCCCTTAAAGATCTATACCCCAGTCCACCCTTCTGTTTCGGAATACAAAGTTTTTGCCAGCTTTTCCATATAATTCCTTTTCTGTTTTGATCCGCCCCTCGCCACCAGTAATCATTCATGATTATCTTGATCTCAGTACACAATTCCTTAGGCAACAAGAAAACTTTCATAGCATAAGCCAGCATAGCTTGGATCACAGTTTTTAGCAAAATTTCTCTTCCAGCCCTAGAAAGAAATTTATTATTCTAACTCCTCACCCTAGTGATGATTTTTTCTTTCAGATAACTAAGAATCTCCTTTTTATTTCTTCCTATTAGAGAAGGTAAGCCCAAATAGCAAGCATTGTTTCCTTCTGTTCTCACCCCTAGGCAATCTCCAACAGTCTTCCGCCTCTCTTCATCCAGGTTTGGACTATGTTTAATAGTAGATTTCTGGTAATTCACCATCTGTCCAGAACACCCTTCATAAGTATGCAAAATGTGTTTAATAACCTCACATTCCTGTTCCCTGGCCCTAAAGAACAGAAAGTTATCATATGCAAAGAAAATGTGAGATATTCTTGGGGCTCCTCTCGCAACAGCAATTCCCAATATATTGCCCATGCTTTCCTGTCTGCGAATAAGAGCGCTAAGACCCTCCGCAACTAAGATAAAAATGTATGGAGATAGCGGGTCCCCCTGACGAATTCCTCGACTAGGGCCAATGGGTCCAATAAGATCATTATCGAAAGGAATAAAATATTCCACCGATTCCATACATTCCTTGATTAGACCACACCATTTAGTATCAAAATTCATACATCGCATGATAGCTTCCACATAACCTCATTCCACTCGATCATAAGCCTTACTCATGTCAAGCTTTAAGGCGACATAGCCCTCCTTCCCCTGGGTTTTTCTTTTCAAATAATGCAAAGATTCAAAAGCTATCATAACGTTGTCGATAATTGATCTACCCGGTACAAAAGCACTCCGATTGACTGTGACCAACTCATCCAAGATTTTCTTTAGTCTATTAGCCAGAACTTTGCTGAAGATTTTAAAAACAACATTGCATAATGTTATAGGTCTCCAGTCCCCCATACCTTCAGGTTTATCTTTTTTAGGAATAAGGATTAAATTAGTTTGATTTTCCTCACGGGGGACTCCGCCGGTCTCCATGATGTTCTGACAAAAGCGCACAACATCTTCGCCCACAATCTCCCAGTAATGTTGGAAAGAGGTTGGGTTTAATCCATCCAGCCCCGGAGCTTTGTCGGGATGCATATCAAAGGCAGCACGTTTAACCTCCATAACCGTAATTGGCTTCACTAAGTCGTGGTTCTGCTCGGGCTTCACCTTGGATAGGTTCCTCATCGTCCACTCGTCCATACAAGTACCATGAGAAGTGAAGATCTCTGTAAAATAATCTTCCACTATACGCCCAAGCCTGGTACGATCAGTTTCTCATTCTCCACTTGAGAGTCGCAATCCTTTCATTTTATTCCTTCTACGTCTCTGTTTTACAACGTTGTGAAAGAATTTGGTATTCCTATCTCTTTCCTTTAGCCAAAAGGATTTTGCCCGCTGCTTCCAGAAAATATTCTGTTGTTCTAGCAGATAAACAAGGGATTCTTTGACCCTGTTAAATTCAGCCGCATTCCATCTGCCACCCTCCGCTCTCAGAACAACTAGACGCTTTTTACAAACATCAATGCGGGCCTGAAAGCCCATTTTCCTGCTCTTACTCCATTGTTCGAGTTCCAAAACGCAGCCATTTAATCGTTGCCAAATTTGCAGCCCAGATGAATTATTCCATACCCTCTGTACCACTTCCCGGCAGTCATTCTCATGGACCCACATGTTTTCAAATTTGAAAACTTCCCTCCAACTGTAGCCCCCTCGTTTTGGACGAGTATAAAGCATCAGGTGATCACTAGTGGGACCCTTCAAAGACATAGATTGATGTCCTCCAAATAAAGTCAACCAATCCTCGTTAGCTAAGATCCGGTCTAGCTTGGCCTCAATCCATCTTGGGGTCCCCCTGCCTCGTTCCCATGTCCACTGATAACCCTCAAAAGATACATTAACCAATCCACTATTCCAAACTGCCTCCCGAAAACCCCTGAGTAACCATGGTGAGGGCGGTACATTGCTCTTGCGCTCATTATCAAACATAACATCATTAAAATCTCACATCATCAACCAAGGCTCATTACTCTCCCTAGCCAAATTTTTAATTAAATCCCACGATTGACGTCTCCGACTACATTCCGGGAAGCCGTAGTAGCCGGTGTAACGCCAATTGGGTTCATCGTCCCCCATTTTGACGGAACAATCAATAAAATTGTTCTCCATTTTCCTGACTCCCAGATACACCCGCTCTCTCCAGAAAAGACAAAGACCACCACTTAAGCCCACACCGTCAACCGACACACAATCATGGAAACCATGTTTGTTTCGAATATCTTCACAGTAAGCAGCATTTGATTTAGTCTCCATCAAAAATAATATATCTGGTCTCTTAGTCAAACAGAACCTTAAAAACGAGAAAAGGGTCAGATGCCTCTAGAACTTACAAAAAAAAGTCAAATAAAACTGTTGGAAATAGCATTTAAAGCATATGCCTTTTTATATTCCAGACTTTCCAGCAGCTTAACTTTTCATTTTCCTTTATGACTTTCAGTTTTCTTTTGTCCTTTAATGTATCATTTACTTCCCTATTCCCTATATATATGGGAGTCATAATGTATGATTGGATATGAGAAATACAAGAAGGCTTCTCTTCCTAAATCAACATGGTATCAAAGCCATGGGTATGGTCTGAAATTCCTTCTGCACGTGGAGGGGACTTTGAGCATATTTTCTGGTGAATCAATCTTCAAGGTTTTCATCATGGTCGTAACAAGCAGTAGTGAAGAAACTCATGTTCCCGTTTACATCCCAAATCTTTCTGGAAACCCTACTATTACCAATAATAAACTTATTGGATCACAAAATTATCAAGATTGGGCATGTACTGTGGAACTGTGGTTCATGGGACAAGGAGTGGATGACCATTTGGTCACAGAAGCTGATTCAATTGAGTATCAAAGAGAAGTCTGGAAACGCGTTGATGCCCAACTTTGCAGCATCTTATGGCAGTCTCTCTCACCAGAAATCGTTCCAATGTTCCGCCCTTTCAGGACGTGTATTTCTGTCTGGGAGCAAGCCAAGTCTCTCTATACAAATGACATATCTCGCTTTTATTCAGTTGTTGATGAAATTTTAAAAATAACAAAATCTGGATGTCAATGGAAACTTTCTTAGGGAAAGTTCAA